GACAAGTAGCTGTGCCCAGGTGTGACAGGTAGCTGCACCCAGGTACTACCAGCTGCGTGGGTGGAACACACAGGTGTGACAGATGTGACAAATACCTGTGCGCAGGTATTGCCGGGCGCTGGTGGAACACGCTGTTTGTGTGACAGGTACCTGCGCCCAGGTGTGATGGTTACCTGTGCCCAGGTACTCCCATTTGCGCGGGTGGAACACGCTGTTCATGTGACAGATACCTGTGCCCAGGTGTGACAGTTACCTGTGCCCAGGTACTCCCGTTTGCGTGGGTGGAACACGCTGTTCATGTGACAGGTACCAGTGCCCAGGTGTGACAGGTGTACCTGTGCCCATATGTGACAGGTGTGCCTGTGCCCAGGGACTGCCGGGCGCGCAGGTGGAACATGCTGTTCGTGTGACAGATACCTGTGCCCAGGTGTGATGGTTACCTGTGCCCAGGTACTCCCGTTTGCGCGGGTGGAACACACTGTTCGTGTGACAGGTGTGACAGGTGTGACAGGTGTACCTGTCCCCAGGTACTCTCGCGCCCGCGGGTGGAACACGCTGTTTGTGTGACAGGTACCTGTGCTCAGGTGTGACGGTTACCTGTGCGCAGGTACTCCCGTTTGCGTGGGTGGAACACGCTGTTCGTGTGTGGCACGGACGAGTACGGCACGGCCACGGAGACGCGGGCGCTGCAGGAGGGGCTGAGCCCACGCGAGCTCTGCGACAGGTACCACCAGGTGCACGCCGATGTCTACGCCTGGTTCCAGATCTCCTTCGACCACTTCGGCCGCACCACCACACCCCAGCAGACCAGGTGAGTGCCCCCAGGGCAGGTGAGCTCTGTCACACCAGGTGAGATCTGTCACACCAGGTGAGTGCCCCCAGGGCAGGTGAGTCCCCTCAGAACAGGTGAGCATCCCCAGAGCAGGTGAGCCCCCCTGGATCAGGTGAGTTCCACTGCATCAGGTGATCCCCCACCAGACCAGGTGAATTCCACCAGAGCAGGTGAGCCCCACCCCATCAGCTGAGTCCCCCAGACCAGGTGAGCCCCCCGAGACCAAGTGAGCCCTCACAGCAGGTGAGTCACCACAGACCAGGTGAACCCCCCCAGAGCAGGTGAATCCCACCACACCAGGTGAGCTCCACCACACCAGGTGAGCCCTGTCACAGCAGGTGAGCCCCCCCTCCAGGTGACCCCACCTGCCCTGGGATCCCACCTGTGCCTGACGGGCCCCTCTCCCCTCCCTCCCTCCCAGGATCGCCCAGGACATCTTCCAGCGGCTGCAGGCGCGGGGCTTCGTGCTGCAGGACACGCTGGAGCAGCTCAGGTGTGGCTCCTGCGGGCGCTACCTGGCCGACAGGTTCGTGGAGGGCACCTGCCCCTCCTGCGGCTTCGCCGAGGCCCGCGGGGACCAGTGCGACCAGTGCGGGCGGCTCATCAATGCCGTGGAGCTGCAGGTGGGGCTGCGGACCCCCCGCCTGGGGGGACACCCCCCTACCTGTGGGGACACCCTCTGAGCTTCAGGGACCTCCCCCCACCTGTAGGGACCTCCCCCCACCTGTGGGGACAACCTCTGAGCTTTAGGGACCTTCCCCCACCTGTGGGGACACCCCCCTACCTGGGGACACCCACGTACCTGTAGGGACACCCCCTGGGCTTTAGGGACCTCCCCCCACCTGTAGGGACACCCTCTGAGCTTTAGGGACCTCCCCCCAATTGGGGGACACCCCTGAACTTTGGGGACCCTTCCCCACCTCGGGGGACACACCCACCCCCCACCTTCGGGGACCAACCTCCCAGCTTTGAGGATTCCCTCCCACACCTTTGGGACACCCCCCACCTTTAGGATCCCCCCACCTTTGGGGACCCCACCCCACCTCACCTTTGGGGCCCTCCCCCCCACCTTTGGGACCCCTCCCCAACCTTTTGCCCCCCATTGTGACCCCCCCGTTTCCCCCCAGAACCCGCAGTGCAAACTGTGCCGGGGGGTCCCGGTGGTGACGCCCACCCAGCACCTGTTCCTGGACCTGCCCAAGGTGAGCTGTGCCCCGGGGTGGGGGGGGACCCCTGGGGGACCCCGAGTGACCTGCCATGTCCCCCCCCAGCTGGAGGGGCGGCTGGAGGCGTGGCTGGAGCGCACCTGGGCGGCAGGTGAGTGGACGCCCAACGCGCGGCACATCACGCGCTCCTGGCTGCGGGACGGGCTCCGCCCGCGCTGCATCACCCGCGACCTCACCTGGGGCACCCCCGTGCCCCTCGACGGCTTCCGAGACAAGGTGGGTGTGTCCCCCCGGCCCCAGGTGTGCCCCACTGGGCCTTCCTGCCCCAGGCTTACCTGCTCAGGTGTGGGCTGGGCCTCCCCACCCCGGACTCACCTGCTCAGGTGTGTCCCTCCCTCCCCAGGTGTTCTACGTGTGGTTTGATGCCCCCATTGGGTACCTGTCCATCACTGCCACCTACACCGAGCACTGGGAGCGCTGGTGGAAGAACCCCGAGCAGGTGGGAGGGGCGGGGCACAGGTGGGTGTGGGGCAGCACACCTGGCTGCGCTGGGGACCCCACCCACCCCCCTTACCTGCCGCAGGTGGAGCTGTACAACTTCATGGCCAAGGACAACGTGCCCTTCCACAGCGTCGTGTTCCCCTGCTCCCTCCTGGGCGC